CCCCAAAACCCCAAAACCCCAAAACCCCAAAACCCCAGAACGAAACATTTTTATTGAAATAAAAAAACATGAAGCTGATCATAATTGTTTGCATTGCTCTATTATCTCTCACCCATGCTGTTAAGAAGTTCGAGATGGATCTTGAACCAGTCAGATCCCTCCAGAAGAGCCAAGACTGATTTGAAGGCTTATCAGCTTCAGATATAGTTTTCCAAGAGGATAAATAAATTAGGGAATAAAAGATTTTTAAAGTCAATAACTAAGGATATAACTAACTTCAAGGACCTTCAGTATTACGGCAACCTCTTCATAGGTCCTGAGAGGCAGAAGATGACCTTCATCTATGACACTGGATCTGCATGGGTTTGGTTCCCAACTTCTCTGTGAGAAGCATGTCCAACTGGAAATCTTTATGAAATTAACAACGTTCTTGATTTGCCAGATAACGAAAAAGCCCGTAATAGAGAAATCCAAAATGCAGAAGTTGAGGTTTTGGTATATGGCACTGGAGAAGTAGGAGGCATTAGAATAACAGAAGATGTCTACATCTACAGTAAAGGGCCAGAAGTTGTCAGAAACCTCGTCATGCTTGGCATTGTCCTTGCTAATGGGATTGAAGGTGATGTCGCTGACGGAATTCTCGGGCTGGGTCCCACCCAACCTGAAGATGGAAGAGGAAATTTTGTCACTGCTTTGAAAGAGCAAGGCATCATTGATTATGAGATGTTCTCATTTGATTTCAAGCTTCAAGGAAACAAATCAAAAATGATTTTTGGAGATATCGATAGAGAGCTAGTTAAAAATCCGCGTGACTTCATATGGGTCCCAATGAAAGGTCAAGAAGACTATTGGAATCTCCCTCTCACTGGTGTCTATTTTGGAAACCAAAAAGCCCTTGATGATGCCAAATATGCAGTTATTGATACAGGAAGCTCCACACTTGCTCTATCTGAGAACAACTTTCTTGATTTAATGGAAAATATCCTTGACACAGGTCTTGATTGAGGATTCTTTATCGAAGAAAAATTTGTTGCATGTATTTGAGAAAATGGGTACAATGATTTCCCAGATCTCACTCTCAGCATTCATGGTCACCCATTTACTCTTGAGCCTGCTGATTACATTGCAACTGAAGACAATATCTGAGTGATTTTAGTATACAATCTCGGAGATAGAGTCGTTATCGAAGAAGACACTATTGTTCTTGGAGTTAATTTCCTCCGCAAATTTTATACTGTATTCGATATGGAGAAATCAAGAATCGGAATCTATGAGCACTCAATGCCAAGCTATTATGCCTTTATCGGTGGAACCCCATTGTCTGCTTTAGTAATAGCATTCTTTTTCATATTAATGAGTGTTTTATTTTTTATGCTCAAAACGAAAAAGGATGAGGGAGTTGAATCAACTTCGACTTCAGGTGGAAAGATGCACAATATCTCAGCAGAAATACATAATAAAGATTAATATAAACAATTAAAGCCTAGCATGCCCCTCTATCCTTAGACTTGGTTTCATTAACCCTTCTCGAAAGCAGCCCTAGCGTCATTCTATGATTGGCTATTCTCAAAATTTCTTTCTATTCTTCTTTTTCAACATTTTTACAAAATAAGTAAGGCCGGTCTGATTACAGCCGAATTATTCTAGAACTCAAGTCGAGCAAAACTTCTAAGAGATTTATTAATAGCGTAGCAGCTTTCTTATGAATGTCCAAAATGGGGTTATCGTTAATAATTATACTAAACTTTCTACTTCAATCTTGGTTGAAACCAATGGGGTTTTGGGGTTTTGGGGTTTTGGGGTTTTGGGG